GACCAGCGGATGGCTGGGAAGGACTGCTTTTCTTAATTGGGCCTTCGTGATGGATGTCAGTGCAGAGGTTTCTACCATTGGTTCAGTTCCGGTATTGAGGGACTTTTCGGATGCGTTTCTTGTGGCCGGGCATGTCGCCGGGCGAGGTTGTGGATTTCGATATTGATTCGGTGCCGGGCACCATATCGTACGGCTCCGGCAGGAGTTATAGTAGTGGAAGGAGCAGCTTCAGGCTTCCTTGGTAATGAGTTTGTTGGCAGGCCGATGTGGCTACGTATTCAGCTTGAGTTGCTATTTTATGTTGTGAGACGTTAGGATTTGTTGATTATGGGCACCTGTGGTGCGGTTCTATTGGGGATTCATAGTGAAAGTCGAGCGGGAAGAGTAATTGGATGTTGCTCGGTAAATGGAGTGTTGGTTATAACCTATCGAGTTGCGTGTCGTATGTTATTTGTTTCACCGTGGGTGTAATGAATTGCTTGGGTTTCAGACATCAAATTGTGCGTGGCTGTCGATTTTGAGCATAGTGACCTGAGGTGTTTCATGGGTAACAGTGTTTGTATAGGATCGTGCATTGTGGCGAGGCCACGTGGAGATATGACCTTTCGGGGTAGATTCAGGTGTTCTATTTCTATGATGTGAGACGGGGTCTCAGCCTTGTGTTGTGATGGACTGATGAGCTTGAGGTACAACTCTTTCGCTTGAGTCATTTGTCATGATGTGAGTATGTTCAGACCATTTCTTATTGGTGCGCGTATTATGCAAGTTGTGGCTTAGGCCTGTGTTGAGGTGTCGTATCACCAGAGTGGTGTGTTGGATTCGAGGTGATCGTTGGAGTCATTAATGAATGCGAGCAGATTTGATTTCAGCTTGTTAGAAGGATAAAATCGAGGTTTGGCCCGGAAATCTGTCGTGGTATTAGTCAAATGGGAAGTGGCTTTATGAATGGTTGATCTGAGAAATGGTTACGGTCTATTGCGTGTTTTATTTATCGTTGGCAGTATATGAAAGTGTTGTGGAATAAGACTTTAGCTAATAAGGGATTTTCTAGCGGTATTTGGTTGTTGTGGACAACTGTTGTGAATAGAGGCTATCGTTTCGAGTGTTTGGATTGTGTGGTATATTATATGATTTCACCTGAGGTTGCAGGTATGAGTTGCTACAGCTGGTTCGGGTTTATTCTGGGTATAGATATGAGGTTCTGATCTTGTATATGATTTCGGAAAATGCAATGTGGTTCTACGGTTTATGGTCTAGATGGACTGTGAAATTTCAGCTATGTTGCATTATCGGACCTATGTGAGATAGAGTGACGTGGGATCACCCCGGGTATATGCTTGGTAAGGACCTTCAGCTATTGGTTGGCTTCTAGTACAACTCTAGGTACGCTCGAGGACGAGCGTTTGTTTAAGTTGGGGAGGATGTGACGACCCGACCCATCATCTCATGTGTTACTGCTCTGTTTCCCCCATTTTATGCTTCTTCATGTTTCATTATCAGTGTTTGGTGTGTTAGAGTTTATTTGGATTGGTTTTGGTAGGAAATGAGACACTTAGTCTCTTTAAGGAAGGTTTAAGTTGGAAAAAGTCAATCGGACGTTGACTTATGAGTTAGAAGGTTCGGATGTGAGTTCCGGTGGTTCGGTTAGCTTCGGGAAGTGATTTGTGACTTAGGAGTGTGATCAGAAGTGATTTTGGAGGTCCGGTGTAGAATTAAGCTTGAATTGGCGAAGTTAGTATTTTGGCGAATTCCGGTTGATGGGTGAGAATTTGATTCGAGGATCGGAATGGAATTCCGAGAGTTGTTGTAGCTTCGTTAGGTGATGTTGGATATGTGTGCAAATTTTCAGGTCATTCGGACGTCGTTTGGTCGGGTTTTTGATCGAATGCGTAATTCGAAAGTTTTTAAGAAACTTAGGTTTGAATCCGATGTGATTTAATGGTTTTAGCGTTGTTAGATGTGTTTTGCGGATTGGAACAAGTTTGAATGAGGTGTTAGGATGTGTTGGTGTTTTTGGTTGAGGTCCCGGGGGCCTCGGGGTGAATTCGAGTGGTTAAATGAGAGTTTTTGGAAGTTGCTTCAGGTCTGAGATTTCTGTCATCTGGTATTTCCGCTTCTGCGGAAATGGACCGCAGAAGCGGGTGGAAAAGCGCAGAAGCGATCTTGTGTTGAATTGATGAGTTCCGCATAAGCGGACCCCTTTTCGCATCAGCGGGTCCGCAGGTGCGAGTGAATAACCGCAGAAGCGGTCTTGGGTAATCCGCAGGAGCGGAGGAAACGGGACCGCATAAGCGAAAATCGCTGTAGGCAGTAGGAGTTTATATTCATTTTTGCTCCGCGAGCGTTATGTTATTTCCGCCATTTTTGAGCGAGCTTTGAGAACTTTGAGGCGATTTTGAAGAGGCATTCAAGGAGGAATGATTAGAGGTAAGTTCCTTGGCCTAAATTCGCGAGATTATGTTAGATTTAACATGGAAATTGGTTGAAATTCATCAAAAGGGGTAAAGCTAGGGCTTGAGTTTTTGATATTTCAAATTGGGATTTGATAGGTCATTTGAGCTCGGATTTGGGAGTTCTTGGTATGTATGGACTTGTGGCGAGACGAGGAATCCGGTAATGTGAGTTTTGTAATTTTTCGTGAAGTGGGCCCGGGGCTCGGGTTTTGCTAGTTTCGAGATTGTTGCTATTTTTCGATTGGGTATTGTCCCATTGGCATATTGTTATGTATTCGCTCTGATTTTGGTTAGATTCGACGCGCGTTGAGGCCGATTTGATGGGACAAGGGCGTCGCCGAGCTAGAGATTTCACCGGTTCGAGGTGAGTAATGATTGTAAATGATATCCTAAGGGTTTGAAACCTCGGATTTGCACGCCGTAGTGCTATATTGAGGTGACTTGCACGCCGGATAGCGAGCATGGGGTAGAGCACCGTTGAGGATTGTGACTTGGTCTGTCCCGATTGTTGATTTTACCGCGTATTTGACTGAAACTTATTTGATATTATCATGACTTGGGTTGATTGCCATACTTGGGGCTTATTGCCGACTGTTTAAAATCCTCGTGAGCTATCATCACTGTTTTCCTCGCTATTTGAAATATTATTTGAACTCAGTCCATTTGAATTACACTATTTCATGAACTCAGCTATATTTTTACTCAACCTTGACTTTTAACTGATGTTTGAACTATTGTTTGAGCTGAGCATTATTGTCTTTACTGATGCCTGAGGGGATTATGATTATTTCTGGGACGGATTGAGGCCGAGGGCCATATGTGAGGATATGTCGAGTGATGTGAGGAGGCTTTCAGGCCTCGAGTGTATTGTGAGAAGGCTTTCAGGCCTCATGTTGATATGTTCAGGCTTTCAGGCCTTATGATGATATAGCGCTTGGGCTGTAGGCGCCCCTCCGGAGTCTACACACCCACAGTGAGCGCGGGTACCCATTTAGAATTGGACAGTGGTAACAATGACACTGTCATGCGTGTTTTGGTTAGGTAACAATGACTGACCAGTCAGGTAACAATGGCTGACCAGTGGTAACAATGGCACTGTAATTCGCGTTTTGGTCAGGTAACAATGGCTGACCGGTCAGGTAACGATGACTGACCAGGAACATAAATCATGCCCGAGGAGCCGGTACTGTTTTGAGATATTGCCCGAGGGGCGAACTTTTATGTGCTCATCTTGCATACTTATTTGCCTCTTTACCTGTTATACCGTGGTATTTGTGCCCGAGGGGTGGATTTTCTGCTCGTATCAGCACTAACTGTTTTGAAATCGTTTTCGTAATCACTGAAAAGATCATTTTTTTTTAAAGGAGATTTGACTTGAGCCAAGGTATTTCTAAAGATTTCACAGATTTCACTTTTTTCTCAGAAAATTGCACCCGGCTTCTGTAAAGCATGTTGGTTGCTTTACGTGATTTCTTGCTGCTCAGTTATTATTTACTTTTATTACTCACTGAGTTGGAGTACTCACTTTACTCCCTGCACCTCGCGTGCAGATGCAGGTATTGTTCACCCGGTAAAGGGTTTTGAGCTGGTTGAAGGTATTACTATCGTAGCTGAGCAGAGTGACTGCCAGCGCTCGCGGCACCGGATTACTTCCTTTGGTTCTAAATTTTATCCGGTAACAGTCTATTTAGTATATATTTTGTATAGTGACAGTCTATTTTGTATATTAACAGTCTATTTAGTATATATTTTGTATAGTGACAGTCTATTTCGTATAGCGACATTCTATTTAATGTAGTTTTACATTGGAAGCTGTTTTGGAATATTCCCCTGATATTAAGAACAAAATCAGAATAAAACAATCAGTAAAACAGTGAGTAGAGTTTAAATGAAAAACTGATTAACCCCTAGAGATCGTAGGAAAAGACTCATAATAAAGTGTTTATTTTGCCGCAAAAGAAAGAAAAAGCGAGCGTTACAAAATGGAGATCCAAAGTATACTGACTTTGAACCAGAAAAATAACAGAACCAGTGAAGTGAGAACTGATCTTCTTCTCAGCTTCTTACTTGCTATCAAACCCTTGAGGCTGATCTATCAGAACAACTCATATGTACATCATTACATCTCCCGAAATCCAAATGCAATTGAAAAACTCATATAAAAAAGAGGATTTCCTGCTTTCTGATGCCGTTTTCTATCCATCGTATACATGGGGTTGCTTGTTTCCAGCACAACCCAGAACTTAATTCCACATTCATTTTCGACAAAAAAAAGAAAAGCAAAAGCAAAATCCGACCTACCGGATTCGAACCAGTGACCTAAGGATTAAGCAAATTAGGGGTGTGCATTCGAATCGGTTTATCGATAAATCGAATCGATTATTTGTTATCGGTTTATCGATTTATCGATTTCGATTTCAATTTCGAAAATTTTCTTATCGAGTTATCGATTTCTATTTCGATTTTGTCCATTTCGATTATCGATTTATCGATAAGATATACTAAAAAGACAACTATACCCTTATTTTATATAACCTTTCCTTTACCCTAACTTATTATTTCCATTTTCCTCTACTCTTATTATTTCCTAATTTCCCTACCCTATTATTTCCTCTTCACGCCTTCACCCGTTCAGTTCAGGCGCCGCTTCTGCCTTGCTCAAGATTTTCCCCTACCCTATTATTTCCTCTTTACGAGTCACGACATCACCCGTTCAGTTCAGGCGCCGGCGAGCCGCTTCTGCTTCAGTTCAGAATCTGAAGTTCCTCAAGAGTCAAGCTCTGCTCAAGCCTCAACGTTTTTGGCAGAACTGTTCTGCTTCTGCCCCTTTAGAGCTGAAGCCTCAAATTTTCTTCACTCAAAATTCCTCCTTTCTCGGTTTCTCCCACAGATCTGGTAATTCTCTATCTCCAAATGGGTTCTCTCAGTAATTTTTTTTCTGTTTGATAAGGGTAAATTACTAAATTTTATAGAAGCTATGAACGTGATGCTTGAACAAATGCTTAATTTTATGTAAGTGTACACACTAACAACGATTCTCAAACTAAATAATTAACAAAGTGACAAAATAAATGGACATGAGTTTTAACACTTTCTGGACCTCACACTACACGCCATATTTCTTTTTTGAGCAACTCTTTTTTATTGGTACCATTTTCCACCTTATTAGTGTGATGATGTACAGCTAAGTTTCAATTGCTTCTTGTATGCAAATGGTGAAAACCTACTTAAGGCAACAATGTAAAACAAGGTTTGTATTTTATTTTGATATGTAGATTCAAGAGCGAGGAGTTCGTTTAAGACTGTAAGTTACATTCTTCATTCACTTCACATGGCTGAAAATGATATATTGATGTCTTAAAATTGCCCTCTTCAAGAAGAAGAGCTGCAGGTCCAATTGCACGCTTTAATCTCTATTGTGTTCAATGTTCATCCAGCATAATTTTGATAAGAACAGTTCTGCGCTTAACATTCTGATTGCAGGTGTATTAAAATTATTTGAGATTGTTTGATTATGTCGATTTAGCCTGTCACTAAAGGGTTTGACAGCATGTCCATTTTATTTGAGATTGTTTGTTATCAGTTGGTAGCAGGTTGGTGCTGACTTCTGATTGTTGTAAAAGCATTTTTAACTTGTTCTGTTTGTTTTTAGTGTGCTGACACTTTTCTGTTAGCTCGAAAGTACATCTCATGTCCATGTTCATCTCAGTTGGTACGAGATTGGACCTGAGAAATGAAGTACGCTTGGTTTGCTGTTTAAACTTTAGAGTCAAGGTTTCTTCACACTAACTTAAGATTGTATTGGATGTTCTATTAACAAAACAAAAATAAATCATGGATGGATCAAGTCTATGTTACTGTATGTAGAAGGAACAATTGTTACTATGATTATCTTAAGTTATTCTATACTTGAGGAACATCAAATTTTCTTATTGGTGTAATCGATAACCGGGGCATTTGTATCTATACTCGCTTTTTGTGCCACATTTTAACCTGTGCTCGCTTTGCAAAAAAAATTGCAAGCGTACCTGCTTTTTCACATAATTTCAGCACACGGGGCTGAAATAGCAAAGGCAATTACACAAAACTTCAACATTTTAGTAGCCGGGCCTGAAGTTCAGCTCTAGAGCTGAAGTTTTTTTTTTTTAACTCGCGAAAGTTTGCCAGTTATAAAATAAAAACTTCAGCTCTAGAGCTGAAGTTTTATTTTATAAGTTTTTGTTTAGTAACCGGGAAACTTCAGCTCTTTGCCAATTATATAATAAAAACTTCAGCTTTAGAGCTGAAGTTTTTGTCTAGTAACCCGGAAACTTCTGAAGTTTTCAAGTTATAAAATAAAAACTTCAGCTCTAGAGCGAAGTTTCCGGG